TGAGGGAGTGGGGGCAGAAAGAGGAAACGAAAGCAGACGACAGAACATTGCTAGAGAGCAGGAAATGAGGTGAAAGGAGACAATTTAATTTAGAGAAGAAAATTGTTCGGTCGTTACCCGGATTCGAACCCGGGACCTTGGAATGAGAGGCCAACACCTTAACCTCTAGGCCACGAGAGCCCCCAAGCTGACTTTAAGAGGAAGTGAAAGTGTCTACTCTTTGGTATACTGGCGTGATGCAATGTTTAACTACACGTTGAATTTGTTTGTCTGCCTATATCATCTACCGTTCTTAAGATCATTGGCTCCCTTTGCCTCTGAATTTTGATTTCTGGCTGATAGTGTCTGTAGGTCTGTGTGATTATCGTTCTGACTATTATTGTTCTGACTATTTTCTCCCGAAAGCAAGACAAACGAACAAGTTTTACGGTGGTACCAATAGCTTTACTTTCTAAAGCAAAACTGACGAGCGCCTGATTCCACCGCGTCGTGACACAAATATACGAGACATTGCATGAGTAGAGTGCACCGGCGTAAGCAGGAACTTTAAATTTAGTTATAACTTTACAGCACTTGCAGCACAATAAAATCATAAAAATGCCGAAAATGAGAAATGTGACAAGTGCGAAACAAATGCTAAAAAAAAAAAAGGAGAGATAAGGAAGTTCTAAAGGAAAGAAGGAGCGAACCACACCAGAGCACCCGCCGACTGCCTATAACGGCATTAATTTATTTTGCAAATCGTAATTATTACTTTTAAACATTGCGTTGTCTCTCATACAGCTCCAAATTAGAAGAAGGCAGTGGTTGTTTTGTGATTATGGCGAATATTAGCACCGTTTGTTTGGTGAAAGTCATACGTATGGAGCTTGCAACTGCATGAGGTCATAATAGTAATATGAGCGCACAGGGCACAAGTTGGTTGGTATCACGTAAGTTTATTGCACGGCTTAGTTTTTTTGTTTTAGTTTTAGTACAAGTTTTACGACGTTTGCAACTGCATAAGGTCATATGAGCGCCAGAAGATTAGAGGTGTAACAAGAGAGTAACAAACATAAAAACAGAAAGAGAGATAAGGATGATAGATGTTTCATCGGAAAGAAGAAGCAAACCACACCAGAGCACCTGCCATCCACCCACGGCTTAGTTTTACTTCGAGAGTCGAAATGGTTGAAGTATCTAAAAATGCTAAGTAAAAAATGATTGGTAAAATGATGTACGTAGATATTTACATGGCACCGTTGTCATGTCATCCACGCTCACGTTTAACTTTAACAGACCTTGACTCATTGCTAACCGAGAATTACAAAGATCTATCCGCTCAGTGCCTAGTTTTGAGAAATTTGGCGTAAATGAATTTGAGTTTTACAACGTGTCAAGCTCTTTCGAATGCAGTTCTTTGAATATCTTAATAACGACTCCGAAAAATCTTACGATTTTGATTGAGCCGTTTGGACATTTATTTATAGGTTTCGACCTCATGGTCTTAGTCACTCAAAACGGCCTAACATGTCAGATAGAACTTTGCAATTCTAAAGTAGTGTCTGTTTTGTTTTAGTAGAGGTTTTACGGTGCTCAAAACTGCATAAGGTCATATGAGAGACAAGGGGTGGATGTCAACAGAGAAGTCCTTACGCTGCTCACTTCTCTAGCTTCAACAGCACAAAGTCTGCTTCGACTATCAAGGCACCCCGGAAATAGTGGGTCACAAGAGTGTGACAAACATACAGAAGAAGTAGAGGAAAATGCCGATGGTAAGGATTAGGAAAGAAAAAGCAGCAGTTCCCAGTTGCAGTTCAGGCACAGTTATGAGCATGACATTGATGAATCAGCCCATTTGACAATTACAATTCTACTGTGCATAAGAACTCGAGATGTTAATGCCCCTCCCCCCCTGGGGAAATGGCCTAAAGACACTTCAGTCAGTAGCACCGCCCCAGGGGGTAGTGTCATGTCTACTGACGGACAGACAAACAAACGGACAAAGCAGACACATGAGTTTTAACACATGAAAATATATAAACCAGAAAGCACTGGCGGCACAGTGTGACGACTGTCAAACATTACAAGACGTAGTGCTTGTGTCGGCTGGACGATTTTAAAATAGTAGATGTTATACTCCACCCCATTAAAAACACAAAAAACAACAACAAATAAATAGATAAATAAATAAATAAATAAATAAATAAATAAATAAATAAATAAATAAATAAATAAATAAATAATACATTTTCGAAGCGGACTGCTTCGACCCCACCAACCTGCATTGTTGAGAGGGATACAACATCGTCCCTGTACACAGACAAAAATATTGGATTAAAAAAACAACTTCCCACACGAAAATCGAAGTCACTTCTGCATGCAAGGGCCAAATGTCTCACCATTACACCGCAAATACCGGTACCAAAAAAAAAAAGGCCAAAAACATTGTTCGAACCCTTCGTCACGACCCTCCCCCATCTAACCCCTATCCTCCTTCAAAAACCTAAAGCAGAAGCGAAATGAAGAAATAAATTAAAAGGCTTTAACAAATTAATTAATAGAACAGTTAACAATCCAAGTCTGTCTGAGACAAAGATTAATGAAGAGATAATTACAAATACACATTATACATACAATAAAAAGAGTATTTCAAAAAATATATGAAAAAATGAATTAGTGAAATAATGGATGAATTGAAAGAACGGCCCTTGTGTGAAATCAGCAAATGAATAAATACATACGTTTAAAGACCAATAAATAAATAAATGAATAAATGAATAAAGAAAGAAAGAAAGAAAGAAAGAAAGAAAGAAAGAAAGAAAGAAAGAAAGAAA